CATATTCCAATAACATCTTTGCCTTGATTTTAATCATTTCCTTAATGCTGATATATGGCTTCCGCGATGTATTTCGGTTTTTCATGATATTCCTGTCACCTGGCAGCCTACTGTAACCCGTAGTTCTCTTAGTTGCGAGTGTTGCTCAGACGATGCGGTCGCCTGCACTTTCTTCCTTCTTTTTGAGCGTTTGTTTATTGTATTTGTTCGACAGTCCATTAGGGTACCAACTGTGGTGAACTACTGCCGATATCTCCAGAATCACTACAGATGCTCCTCGTCTTACGATGTAGTAACGTTCTGACGAACTCGAGTTGAAAATATCGTATGTAGAATATGATATGATAGATGAATAAAAAACTGCTGTCATTTAAAATGGGTATAAACGAACAATTACTGTAACTAATTAATTACCAATAATTAAAAACTTTACATTAAATACTGGAAGATTATGTTGCAGAGAAGGCTGTCGCGACAGGGCCATCAGTTTCTTCTGATGATTCGCGTTCGCGAGCATAGCTGGTAGAGGGCAGTACGTCGTCGACACTTGTTTATGGTTTTGAAAATGTAAGCAAAGTAGTGGCATATATAACATAGCGTAGAAACGGCTTTCAATTCCGTGGTTGCGTAAAAGCGAGCAATCGTTGTCGAAAAATGCTTTGTCGATCTTCGGCAGCCGTCTTTGTGCTGCTACGCTCCCAGCTGCTAGAAGTCGTAAAGGATATTCTGATCATTGACTTTTCGAAGCCTCTCTCAGTTGCCTAACAGCCTGTGCTTCCAGTGGTCACCCGGGAGACCACCGAGCCCGTATGACGTTCGATAACGGTGATGGGATGAGTGGCAAATGGCTAAGTTTTATCGAAACCTCGCCGCGGCACCCAACGCTCCTTTTCAGCTGGCCATGAAACCGGCCAAGGCTGTTTTATTTTGTGATCTCCGTCACTCGTATATCAGGCTTGTGCTATCCATGTAGAATGGTTGTTTATTGCTTTTGTTGTAAATCTTTCCTGCTGTTGATAGTAGCATTTTAAAATAAACGAGTTAACTTGAAAATTAGTTAACAATGATTGGTTGACTGCAGTTGGATGAATCCTCAATGTGTTAAATGGCTAACTGGGATATGGTGGCTGTCATTGATTAGTTCAACGGCTGTGTGGATTAACTGAATTTATTCGTTTAAGTACCTGCGATGGAAATGGCACGTTTACATTTGGCAGATAAATTGATGTCGCTTTATTCGAATATGGCAGTAGAACGCGAGGAGTTCATAAATTGATTAGCGTGTTTGTCAGCCCTTTGAATACTCAGATACATTAAACTCCCATCTATGCAGGTTTCAGCGGATTAACATTGTTACTGAAATCTGAAATAGCATTGTCGACTCTCACCTAGCAAATGAGTCGAACTAGTTGCGTATCGTTGTATTGATTACTAGTGGTCGCTAGTATGAACTGAATTAGAAAGACGTATATTGTGGATTTGTGGTGGAAGATTGCTCGATTGCGTTTAAATTGCTCGATAATGTCTCGAATATTTTCAGATACCGCTGTCGTACCCGAAAGCATTCCCATATGTTCGATGTCCGACACCGTTGGAGCCGCCGCCGTTTGCCCTTCGAGCTCTGGAAACGGCAAATGCATTTCTCCACCGGTAAAGAGCAGCTCTTCTGCTTCTCGCAGCGGCGCTGGTTGTCATGGCAAATGGACGGCAATGGCAGCGGCCACACGGAAGACGCACAAGGTGCAGGCGCAAAACAGCGGGTGTTCTTTGGATTGTTCGGCATGTCACAATGACGACGATGATCGAGATGTTGATGCCAGAACAAGTGAGTGTAGCAACAACTGCATGAAGAACGTTGCGTTGGATTATTCGAAGAAGAAACGGCTTCTGCCTGCCGACAACGGTAGCAGTGACAGCGAGGTGTCGCCAGACAGGAAGCGAGGCAAGTGGCAAGCCTGCGACAGGGCGCATAAACCTGACAGGTCCAGAAGCGGTGAGGTCGTCGAGCCGGACGTTCAATCCCCTGCCGATCTCAAGTATTTCGGCGATGGTGACAGCTCGAACAGTCACAGTCTCTCGGATCGGCTGAACGCCGCAGCTGCAGCCGCTGCGGCCGCCGCTGCCGAAAGCAATTTCTACTCGGTCCAGTCATTGTTTTCGAACCGGGATCATTTTGTGCTGACCACTGGCTTCCCCGGAGACATATTTTCCGGCACCCCTCCGGTGCATTACCTGCAGTCCGACGCCGCTACGTCCAGTAGCGGTCAGTTGACCTCCACCGATGACCACGGCGGCTCAGACGCCGATCCGCTTTTCCAGCGGTCCCGGGCTACGCGGCGTGCCGCGCGAGGACGACCCGCGACAATTTCGGCTGAAGATGGTGCCGACGCAAAGAACGGCAAACCTAAAGGTACGTTTCCTGATCAGGTGTCCATTTGTCGTTACTTCTGACTTAAAATTGCGAAACGTAATTCAGTCGGTAGAGCATTGGATGGATTAAAAGCTGAAAAACAGGTGTTTGAGTTCCAGTGTGGTCACTCGCCTTGCGTTCCTTTTTTTAATGTACATAAATGCATACTATTTTGCTGAGGGCCAACGAAAAAGTTTTAACGGTGCTACTCATCCGGCTGTAACTTTAAACAAGAAAAGCAACAAGGTGGGCCTGACTAATGCCATAAAAACAGGTTGGCTATGCGTGATAAAACGCCGTTGAATTAGAGTGACATAAATGGCATCCATTTCTGAATTGCGTTAGATGTTCGTCATCCCTTGATGTTACAGCTGCAAACAGCTGACCATTGCGAAGTATCA